GGATTTTGTTGTAAAAGCGTATACATTGGCCCATAAATGAATTACTGATTATGTGGAGTCTAGTAACTGGCATTACAAGCTTATGTTTGTTCCTAGTGTTTAAATTATGCATATCCTTATTTTATTAAAGCTATTTATGTTTTAATGTACATATATTACATATTCATAAATAAATTGCGATGCCAAAGTTAATATCTTTATTTCTTTAAATTTTTGTCGGAGGTACTCTTTACAATTTAGGTTATAGATCGCCCGAACGGCTCTCTTTTGTAAAACAAATATAGCTTCAACATCAGTCGCATTACCCCATAGCAAAATTCCATAAGACATTACGCTATGAAAGTAACTAAAATACACTAGTCTAGCTGTCTCAACATTTGTGAGACTTCTAATCTTTCTTACAGCATATGCTGCAGAACTAAGAGAGCGTGGTCCTTCCCCGGTCGAGCCGATCCATTCGTGCTACAACTATACTACTAATATAGCTGCAGCATGGCTCTACCACGTAATAAATATAATAATATCCATCTCTCTCGTACTTTTTCTTATCTTGCCATGAAAGAAATATTATTTTATTTTAAATGACACTTCATTTTAATAGACGCTAGTAATTAATTTATTTGTATTTGTTAATCAATAATATAATACGTTTATCAATAATAATATACCACGAAAGGAACTTCGTTCCAGTCGAGTGTACCACGACACTCACACATGTTTTTTTATATGTGTTATCTCATAACTTTTTTCTAGGTGAACCTTTTTGATGATTCTTTTTTTTATTTGATAGCTGGTGCTTCTCACGTGGTCCCATATACTCTGACTCTAATTTATATTAAAGTCGGTTGTACAACATTTATAATTTTACTACTAGTTAAAGTTATATTTTTCACCATTTTGATTGGAATAAGGAATACCACAATTTCAAGGTTACAACAAGAATACCGCCTTAATAGATACGTTAATAGTAAAAATTTCAAAACCTATTTTTAACACGCTTTTATTAGCTTGGTACGTATCTATGTAACGGAATTTTTTAATGTGATTTTCATCCCCTTCAAAACGTCGGATTGATTTGAAACTTCGCACACTTATCAAGAACCGCTGACAATCATCATCATCATCATCATTACAGCCCTTCACAAGTCCACTGCTGAACATAGGCCTCCCCCAAAGAATGCCACAAAGCACGGTCCTGAGCCACCTGCATCCATCGACTTCCTGCATGTCTTACCAGGTCGTCACTCCATCTCGTGGGGGGGACGCCCTACACTTCGCCTACCGGTACGAGGCTGCCACTCGAGAACCTTTTTTCCCCATCGGTTGTCGGTTCTTCGAGCTATATGGCCGGCCCACTGCCACTTCAGCTTACTAATTCGTTGGGCTATGTCGGTTATTCTGGTTCTACTACGGATATCCTCATTCCTAAGTTTATCACGCAGAGAAACTCCAAGCATAGCCCTCTCTATAGCTCGCTGAGCGACCTTGAGCTTCCTCATACGGCCAGCAGTGAAGGACCACGTCTCAGTTTCGTAAGTCATCACTGGCAACACGCACTGGTTGTACAATTTCGTTTTAAGGTTTTGAGGTATGTCTGACGAGAATATGTGTCGTAGCTTCCCGAACGCTGCCCAGCCGAGTTGAATCCGTCGATTGACCTCTCGGTCGAAGTTGGACTTACCTAGTCGGACTATTTGTCCCAGGTAAACATACTCGTCAACAACTTCGAGCTTAGTGCTCCCAACAACTATCGGCATGGGTGTGACATGGACATTAAACATGTCATGTTTAACATCTTTGTTTTGTCCATGTTCATCTTAAGACCTATCCGTTGGGAAACACCGCTGACAATGCAATAGTTTAAATAGTTTCTCCCATTATCCTTGCCAGGATCCTCAGGATTCGCGAATAGTTCATAAAACAACTACGATTTCAGTTCAATCTACTGTAAGCCTTGTAAAAGAACTTCATTACAAAAAAAGAAAAAACACGCTTTTGTAGCTAGCCGCACTAAAAAATAGAAAATAAATAATAGTTAAAAAAAAAACTAAAAAACACGCTTTTATAGATAACCGAACTAAAAACTTTAAAAAAATTCAATAAGTTTAAAATAAGAAAATAGTGATTAACATAAAAAAATAATTTAATTGTAAAAAACTTGATATCATTTGTTGTAAATATTTTTGTAGATATTTGTAAAATTAGCGTCATCATAAAAATCTGAAAAAGTACCATATGCTACCCAATGCCAATGCAACTTGATATCATTTGTTGTAAATATTTTTGTAGATATTTGTAACATTAGCGTCATCATAAAAGTCATCAAAAAATCTGAAAAAGTACCCCATGCTTTTTATAATAAATTTATTTTTTTATGTTAATCACTATTTTCTTACTTTAAACTTATTGAAAATTACTTTCTACCTTTTAATTCGGTCATATTTACAAAAGCGTGTTTTTTTAAGTTTTTTTAAACTATTATTTATTTCATTTTGTTTTTTATCTTCGCGTTCTTCGGGGTGAATTTTCTTCATAATAATTATATTGATGTCAACTCTGAAGTATACGTAACTTTTTTTAATAAAAGAAGAAGCATTAAAAAAACCGTTCATAAACGAAGAGGTTAGGTCCGTATATATATAAAAATATACATAATGTCCTCCAGACCAAGTATCGGTCACGGTGGCTTCTGCGCAGGGCAGGATTATAGTGTTCAAGTGTATGCGCAGATATAAGTCGTCGTTGACACCGCAAAAGGGCGAACCTCAATTTTTCAAAAAATTAAAAGAGAGCAAGAAATCATTTATGATTTCCCGACTACTAGCCTTTTTTTCATCAGAAAATTAAACATATTAGACATAATGGAAAACTACAAATAAGATTAAATATATTAGACTTAATGGAAAACTACAAATAAAATTAATTTTCTGATGAAAAAAAAAGCTAGTAATCGGAGAATAATAAATGTTTTCTTGCTCTCCTGTAATTTTTGAAAAATTGAGGTTCGCCCATTTGCGGAGTCAACGACGAAGTGTACTCTCTATTCTCTCACTTTCAGAGTCAAATAGTGGTCAAAATAGTATAAAAGTCAAGGTGAAATACCATCAACTTCCCGCCTCCGGGCTGATAAAACCCAATAAACAATTTTTGCCCGACCTGGGATTCAAACCCAAGACGCCACCATCAGAACCGCGTTTACGATCACTAGACTAACGAGGCAGTCAATAAAAATATACATATAGACCAATTGAGAACCTTCTCTTTTTTAAAGTCGGTTTAAAATCATTGTTATTTCTTACACACTCCCACCCTTCAAATTAATATTTATATTCACTCTCCGATAAAACTATATTATGCATAATTCAGTGGACTCGAAATAAGCTTACGATGGAACTTATTGGTATTGGCGTAGACGTTTGCTACGAAGCTACGATATAAGCGCTACGACTTTTGCTACGCTCTTTTGTGGATTTTTAAATAAACTAACAACGCTATTTTCATTACTAATATAACTAAAAAGTCAGAAATTCCTTCATGGGGCAATGCATACCTACGCTTTTACAACAAAGTCCCAGAAAGTATACATGATCTATATATGAAAAGTTTAAAATTTTTAATAAGCAACAATTGCTTAGTAGGGGTATGACTTAATAAAAGAAAATACTACTAAGAAAATGCTACTAAAGAGTACATGATTGATAATAACCCCAAGGGAATAAGGTAATCGCTACCATGCTGTTTCTAAAAGTTTTCATACCTAATTGTATATTGCAAATTAAGGATTAAAAAAAAGTCGTGCTGGATTTCTTACTGGTCCTTCCCAGGTCAGAGGTTATTTTCCGAACCAGTGGTAAAACTTAAAAGGAGTGGTTCACTTTAGTAGTCGAATGACGGATTCGAACCCACGATCTTTGAAACCACAGTCCGCAATTTACCATTAGGCTACTTCCATTATCCTTAATGTTACAGCCTATTAAAGTCCACTGCTGAACATAGGCTTCCCCCATAGATCATAGGGGGGATAATTGCCATAGTTGCTATGCTTGACGAGCAGGTTGGCAAGCGTAGTATTTTTTATTTTTAGTTGTTGTCATGAAGACGCTGCTGCCCATCTCCAGGTTTGCTTCTCTCTGTCGCTTCTAACGACACCCACGGGACGATATGAGGCAGTGGATATTCTTACACCGCCGAGGGTGGTACCTACACAGATGGATTTCCAGGCAGAGAAGTGGTTAATACTATCTAGTAATGCCAGTATATAGCTGTTTGTTGCTATGACTATTCCTTTTTTAGGATGTTTAATTACCCTAGGCTTTATGTCTAAACAAATAAAATAAAAATGTATCAAGAATAGATATGAGAAAAAAAAAACTATTAACGAACAAAACCCTTTTGTCTCTTGACCTATCAATAAAGGCTCACGTATAAACTCGGTAATCTACTAATACGGGCCTTACAAATTTACCAACAAACTTTGCAATGTGCAAAAACATCTTTATTCAAACGCAATACGAGTGAAACTTGTTTATCAATGAGTGTACGATAAAACTTTGGTAGATAATAAACGTCCCGGGTAAAGCGACACTAAAACACTGCGAAAGCAACTCTATAACGTTGATTGAGAAAGGTGGGATAGATCAAGTTATGCTGGACATTTCTGCACAAAACCGCGGCTAAAAAGCCACCCCGTGCGTCCAGAAGCCCGCCCATTTCTGAAGAACCACTCCCTTAAAGTCAGTCGACGTTCGGCATTTAACCACAGCGCATGTGCTAGTTATACTCTGTATTTCCGATAGCAACATAATCTATGAACTTATACACTAACTTGCGAATTTTATAGTTTTTTTTTTATATATTGTTTTTACATTTTAAATTCGTAACGAAACAAAATTTAAATTTGACACATCCGATTTAGTGAAGTGACGTAATAGATATGTTTTTAATAGCATTAACGTAAAAATAGCGTTATTTATTAGTTAATTATTAGCTATCGGCGTATGATGTACCCAACGGATAATTTGAAACATGGACCGTTAAAACTGAACCCTTTTGTGACTCAAAAAAACCTCGATCACAACATAATGCTGAAGACGCTTCAGAATTTGTGCTACAACAAAACCAATGCAAACCCGTTTAACATGTCATCTCCTTTCTTAGTTGACAACATTTTACATCAACAGAAGGCCGCCAATTTTCACAATCAGTACATTAACCACCAGTTAGAGAACTACGTTCTGCAAAGGCAAGAATACGAACGTTCCAGAGAGAATACACCAGATATGGACGAGACAAAAATCGCGGAAGAAGACGAGAGTACCCGTCGTGGATCGATCGACGGATCAAAAATTGAGAATGACGAAGACTCCAAGAGCAGAGACGAAGAAGAAGGTTTTAATCTTAAAAACGAAACCGTATATTACAACACTGAATACTATGCGAGAACTGAAGATGTGAGGAATACGGAAAAAGAAGTTTTAAACATACCGACCCTTACCCGACGCTGTCAAAGTTGCGGAGCGTTTGATTGCCCTCCGTACACCTGTAAAAAATCGGGTATACGACGCTTAGAAGAACTAGAAAAGCGTTTCAATCTACACAACTACCAGGAGAACTCGGGTGATGAAGCCGATGGTAGTAAAGATGGGAAAGCGTACAGCACGGATGATATAGTTAGAAATTGCGAGGAGTACAATGAACAGAAGAAGCCGCCGCTCAAGTTCAGTGTTAGTGCCATATTGGGCGATAGAGATGACACGATGAGAAATAGCAGTATTAACGGTAAGTAAGTTTATTTCCGTAGGTTAATACTTTTTTATTCGAAATTATTGGAGAAATGCACTAACTGTGTTGGTTGCTTAGCATGTCGTAAAATGTCACTGATGGGATATTGGGTTCGTGAGTATGTAGTAGACGAATTAGCCACTGTAAGTTCCTTTACAATTTTTCATCTACACAACTGTAAAAGCTAAAATAGTTAGAAAGTTACCAACTTTTTTGGCTAAACGTGTTCCAAGTAGCTCCCTTTTCTTTGGACTCTGCTTATCCTCTCGGTGATTACATGTGGCGTATGATTAAAGAGATACAGACATATGTCTGCAGTTACGAAGTCGTCTATGAGGTATGAACTACTAGTAATGGTTGACTGGGAGAGAATGCCTTAAGGCATTAAGTCCGTAATATGTACGATTTTTTCTGCATAACATTTTAAATAAATAAACAAATTTCTTTTGTCTGTTAGGATTTTATTTTAGTTTTTTCTTAGAGCCTACGGGTTTTTCGTTTACAGTTAGTTACAAGTGCGTATAGACTAAAGTAGCTACTTTTCATTGAGGTTATGTATTATAGCTTGTTTTTACTTTAATATAACGTAAAGGTATAAGAAATGAAAGTTCTAGATTAATCATTTGAATGCATTAAACTAGGGGTGTTCAGTTAAAAAAATAAAGGTATGCCAACGAACTATCAGCATTAAAACAATTTTACGAATAAGGAAATTATAAAAAGAATCTTTAACTAAAGTTAGTCAGCGTGAGCGAAAATGCACAATTTAAAACACAGCGGCGGGACTATCGAATTTACTGATAATTGTCTTATCAGTCGGCCATGTATTATTTAATACGTAGTAGAGTTAAATCTATATTTAAGTTGTATTCCCCTGGTGTTGCGGTTGTTCATGGGCGGCGGTAGTCACTTACCATCAGGTGAGCCGCATGCTCGTTTGCCCCCTCTCCTATAAAAAAAAAAAAAAAGCACGAATGGGTTGGCTCGATTGCGGTAGGACCAAGCTCTCACAGAATACCAGCGTAAAATGGTAGCTTAATGCTGCTGTGTTTCTTATTCGAAGCGAGGCATTCCATCTCAGTCCTCAGGGGTGACAACGCATCTGCATTTTTATACTTAATTGAGGATAAATGTAGATGTCTATGGGCCACAGCAACCACTTACCATCGGGTGGACTGTGTGCTCGTTTGTCACCCTTATTCTATAAAAAAAAATATATTTGACATGGCCTTTTCTATTGGGTTTCTTGCTGTTTCTTCCCAGGACAGAGAATTTTTCGAACCAGTGGTAAATTAAATGTAATGTAAAGGTGTTTTGTTGTGCTGTTTTGTTAGTTGCGGTAGGGTTCCTTTCGGAGTTTTTAAAATTTTCAATTTAAGTTATTTTAAATTATGACTTTACTTGATAGAATTCTGCCAGTGTCAAGTCAGTGGAAACGGCATTTAGTTTTCGTTACTTTGTGACGTCATTAACTAACAAACATGAGCACACAAATTAACTACTGGGGTAGTTTATATGTTTTGAGCCGCTTCTGTTTTTAGTGTTTTATCGTTGTGGAATATCCCTAGTGTAGTATCCCTTTTGGGAAATGCAAATATATAAATTGCCACAACGCATTATCGAAAATTTTTAAAACATTAATAAACTGTTTAATTTTTTTTTAATTTCCCGATTTTGGTTATCCGTAAAGGAACTCATAGAATTTCTGTCTGTTTTTTTTTTTCATAGTATATGGGGTGATGAACGAACACAAAGTCCACCTGATGGCAAGTAGATGCTGGGGCTCACAGACATTTAAATCTGTCATTTTTTTCTTTTTTATTTAAGGGACTTTCATTATTAACATATCAGTCCCATTGTACCTTATAATTAAATAGCACAAAAAATTATTTAATTACTTATACAAACCCTAATAAATGATAAACCATTTGAGCAGCATCTGACAGTGGTACAGAGAGTATACTTTGATATTCCCCTATGTTATACATTTTAATGTCAGTTTTGGCGACCAGTGGTTTCCTCTAGTGATGGTTTTTAGAACACTCCGCGAGCAAGTGTTGTATGTCTTCCATTGTGTTGCATGTATCGCAATTTGGAGATTGTTTCTTTTTCATCATGAAAGCTAACTTGTTGCACGGAATGTGTTCAGAGCGAAGTCGCATTGCTAATACAACAGATTTTCTGTTCAATAGACATTGATTGAACCAAGGCACTTTCGGTTAAGAATCAAAATTCAGATGCTTCGTTACCCTTGAAGACTAGGACGGAATGCCTCGTTTTCATTAAAAAGGGTCTTCGATTCTCTACACTCACCATACGAAACATGGCAACGCATTTTACGCTGATATTTTGTGAGAGCGTGCTTCTTCCCCGGTTGAGTCGAATTATTCGGGCTACAACCATATTATAGCTTCAGCAGGGCTCTACCACGTGAAAAAGGGGTCTGTATTAACGCGTCACAACATCATAACTATGGTTTTTGACCGAATTAAGTAGTAATTAAAGGTTTGTAGGTACTGATATAATTATCAAATTTCAGATTACCTACTCACATCACATACATTCACAAGTACAAAACATTACATAGCATAGGAGTTCGTCTGTGTATGTACCACCTTTTTACTTATTTCTCCCTCTAAGTAGGTCTGATAGGTGTGAAGGGTATAGTGAGCCATATTTATTTTAAAACAGTGTATATGCTGGCTTACAGTACACCCAAAACGCCAGCATGCTAATTTAAAATTACACTTTTAAATAATAAGTAATTGATTAAGATATGTACATGTCCAAATAAAAATAAAAATAAAAAATACATGCCAATTAGATTAAAAAATACATGCCAAATAGACTACATGTCAAATAGAGTAAGCAAAATATCATTGTCAAATTAACTAATCTAAGATTAAATTAATATATTACAATATGTCAAAATTGGATGTCAAAAATAGAAGGGCTTTATTTTATTTTTATCTTAGTCCTCAGCGACAATACAGCTGTGACATTCTTCGTTTAAAGTTGGTTACTGGTGTTAATGGACTGCAGTAGGCACTTACTATCATTTGGACTATAATTTCGTTGGTCACTTTAAATTTGTAAAAAAAAACATGCTCACCCCATATCGAAAATAAATATTGTAATTTTTTCTATTTTTCACAACGAATACGGTATCATCACGTTAATTTAATAATTTAAAATTAAAAAAATTGTACAACCGACTTCAATATAAATTATTAAGAATAACTCAAAAACTATTAGTCAGACCTTGATCAAATTTATATGGGACCACGTGTGAAGCACCGGCTTTCAAATAAAAAAAGAATCATTGAAATCGGTTCAACCAGTAAAAAGTTATGAGGTAACACACATAAAAAAAAACATACAGTCGTATTGAGTACCGACTCCTTTTTGAAGTCGCGTATTAAAATAAAATGATGTGTTTTACGTAGTTTGAAGAACAGCTTCCGCCCTCCATCAATTGCGTGCACTATCCCCGTCACCACTAATCCCAATACGACTACACTAGGAAGGACACATCGCCGTCGATAATATGTGTTTCGCCTCTCAACGAGACATCCTCAGGTAAAATATACTCTGCGATCAGCCGCATCTTTAATACAATGGAATTCCGCAAAGTAAGGCCTGATTCTATTAATTAATGTAAATAAATAATAGTTAAAAAAAAACAATAAAAAACATGCTTTCGTAGATAACCGAACTAAGAGGTAGAAAATAATTTTCAATAATTTTAAAATAAGAAAATAGTGATTAACATAAAATAATCATTTTACTGTAAAAAAAAAAACGTGGGGTGCTTTTTCGGATATTTTTATGATGACGCTAATTTTTCAAATATCCACAAAAATATTTGCAACAAATGACATAAAGCACCCCACGCTTTTTTACAATAACATGTTTTATTTATGTTAATCACCATTTTTTTTATTTTAAACATATTGGAAATTACGAGTATTTTCTACTTTTTAGTTCGTTATCTAAAAAAGCCTGTTTTTTTAGTTTTTTAACTATTATTTATTTTCTTTTTTTTAGTGCGGCTAACTACAAAAGCGTGTTTTTTTTTACAATAACATTTATTACAATAACATGTTTTATTTATGTTAATCACCATTTTTTTATTTTAAACATATTGGAAATTACGAGTATTTTCTACTTTTTAGTTCGTTATCTAAAAAAGCCTGTTTTTTTAGTTTTTTAACTATTATTTATTTTCTTTTTTTTAGTGCGGCTAACTACAAAAGCGTGTTTTTTTTTGGAACGAATTTCTTTTACGCGGCTTACAGTAGATTGAACTGGCAGAAATAGTAGTTGTTTTATTAATCATTCGCAAATCCTGAGGATCCTGGCAAGGATAATGTGACAAACTATTTAAACTATTGCATTGTCATTGGTTTTTTTATAGGATAAGGGTGACAAACGAGCACACAGTCCACCTGATGGTAAGTGGTTGCTGTGGCCCATAAACATCTACATCTATCCTCGTTTGCGAATCAAAATGCAGATGCGTTGTCACCCGTGAGGACTAAGATGGAATGCCTCTTTTCCAGTAAAAAGGGTCTCCGGTTCTCTACACTCACCATACGAAACACAGCAGCGTTAAGCTGCTATTTTACGCTGGTATTCTGTGAGAGCGTGGTCCTTCCCCGGTCGAGCCGATCCAAGTTTTTTTACGCTAGGCCAGGGGTTCCAAAACAGTACACGGCGCACTCAAAGATATAGTATTTTATTACGGTGACCTTGTCAAAATATGTGTGAAAAGATACTAATAAGACATAGGAATTAAAACAACCTTTTCTAAAGATCAGAAAAAAATACAAAGGATATTTTTTAATGACAATTTAGTCAATAGTGTAAGCTTGCTAGCCCCACAAATTTGATCAAAATGCGGATAAGACACGTGGTAGAGCCATGCTGCAGCTGTATTAGTAGTATAGTTGTAGCACGAATGGGTCGGCTCGACCGGGGAAGGATCACGCTCTCAC